TTCGTGCTGTGCCTGCGCGACGTGATATTCATGGGCATTTATGCCAAAAGTGGCACGGCCATGAGCTTCTCTTTGTCTACGCTGCAGAACCTGGCCTTCCTAGAACCCCACCTCATCCTACCCGGGGCTCTGCAGCGCATTTACCCGTCGCTGCAAGGACTTGTGGAAGTTCACCGGACCACCTCCTCTCTCCGTGCTCTGCAAGTTCTATCGCGCATCATCTCCAGAACCAAGGGCTACCGCTGCCATATGACTACTCTTCTGGGGCTCGCACTACCAGGAATTGACGCCAATGACCTGGAGAAGTCCTTGCACTCCTTGTCATTCATTCAGGCTGCTTGCTACAATATACCCATGGCCGACTTGACCCAAGGTAGAGAAGATGTGAATTGTAACATGCTTGCAATGCAATGGATCACCGGCGAGATGGAACGCATGGAGGAGGAGGGTGTTGACATCAAATTGAACTATGATACCGACTTGGACGATGAGACTGAAGAGATGATTCTTCGCTCGTCTACCTGCGGCTTTGGAGACTTCATTGTTTCGTTCTTGGGTCGTGTCTTCACACTTCTGGAGAATCTGCCAGACGTGAGTAGAGTTCGGAATGGCTCTCCTGAAGAGAACATTGTGAACACCCTGCCGGCCACCTTCATGCCACTGCTTTCGTCTCTATCCCCCGAATACTATGATATCGCCTTGTCCAAGGTTGTCGATTTCGTCTCCAACCATGTGATTCATCAAGCTCGCGATGCAATGGCCTTCATCTGTAACTCAGTCTGCAAAGTGAACCCTGCAAAGGCCCTGAAGCGCTTCATCCCCGTACTGACGCAGGCCATTCGTACCGAGATTGACGACAATGGTGCGGGGTCGACCAGAACGACAGGAACAGATGTCCTACCTCGAGACCGTGGCCTGGTGTGGAACGTTAGCATGCTCAGCATGTGCGTCGTTCATGTCGGAGATGCCGTACTGGCTCACAAGAAAGAGCTCTTCGATATAGCCGTCTATATGCAGCAAAAATGTCGGGGAATACCCACAGTACATATCTCCAACTTCATACACCATCTTCTTCTCAACCTAACGGGTACATATACATCGGACTACTCTCTGTACGAGCCTGACGTTGTCGCTCAAGGCATACAGCCCGAACACTGGAGCTATCAGCAAGATCCTTGTAAACTGAGTGTAAAATGGCACGTGCCGAAACGCGAGGAACTTGAGTTTGCCGTGGAACTCTTCCAGAATCAGGCAGAGTCTGCTCTGAAGCAGCTAAAAGCACTGACCGATGAGACCTCCAGCGTGAAGCGTGATGGGAGCGGTAAAGACTGGTCGGATGAGGTGACTCGGAACCTGGTGCTGTTACGTCTCATTCTTTCCGGTATCTCCGTGCTTCTCGACCCTAATGCTGCATCTACAACTACATCGGCTGGGCTTTCCGACGGGTCGACTGATGTGCAGATGGCGGACTCAAAAGAAGCTCCAAGCGATGATGAGGATCCCGACTCGGCTCTTGATAGCTCTGAGGATTCCGCAGTCAGGGATACTTTCACCTACCCTACTGGGTATCCTTTGACTGAGAATGATAAGCTGTACACAGCCATTCATGACATTAGAGAAAGGGCAGGGTGGGTCTTGCACGACGTGCACAGATTCCTGTCCGACAAGCAAGAGGACGATGTTCCATGCTTCGCAGCTCTTTACTCGGCTTACCGCTCTTGGTTTGTTGACGTTGGCATTGAACGTTCTGCACATGTCCTAGACAGAGTCACTCGACTTCTTGCGGCTGACATCCATCCTTACAAGATGAGTGGTCTGCGAAAGGAATATCCCCGTCCTTTGCTCGTACGAAGGGCGAATGTGTATCATCTGCAACGACTTCGGCATAACGCAGCCCCGCGTCGCCGTTCCAAGCTTGATGAGATTCTACTTTTAGATATTGCCGAGTCCTGCGTATCTCTGTATACCGAAACTCGACGCAACGCTCAAAGCGCAGGAGAGTCGGCTCTCAAGGCTGTCTGGGGATCCCGTCTGCTAGTGATTCCCCCTCTCTTGAAGGCTCTCCAAAAGGGTATTCGGGAGAATGATCATGCTCGTATCAAGGGTGCCTTATTTTCCCTATTATTGGGGAGTGTCGCGAAAACTGTTGGGCGCCACTGGAAGTACGCCCCCGTTCTTATTCGAACATTCATCGACGCGAGCGCTGTAGACAAACCATCTGTGCAGAGAATCTGCTCAAGTGCCGTCTATCAAATCATGGAATACGGGCGTGCCATGGAAAGAATGGCCGTTCTCGATCGAGACATCATCGAGTCGATTGCACCGGGTCAAGACGTCCAGGGTGAGATTGATCAGAAGCGCGATGCTATCAACAAGAAACGCGTCCTTATCGAGAAGAAGAAGGCAGCTTTGGCGGAGGAATTGGTCAATCTTGCTAGGGTATCTCATTGGAAAGTCGCAAGTCGAGCAGCCACAATCGTGATCACTATGGGGCTTAGGTTCGACTACGTTGCAAGCGAAAACCTGGTTGAGCTCGTGACCCAAGGCTCGATTGATGACCACCCGGGACTGCGCGGCATGTACTCACAGGCTCTCATCGCTTTATTCACGATGATAGACGTTCGGGCAATCTGCAGCCACGATTACAAAAATTACATACTTGGCCACCAGCATTTCCCCTCGAAACTCAAAGTCGCAACCAAGCGCGACGATCCAAATTGGACGAAAGAATACTTGGCGAGCTTTGCTAACCCAGAAGCGGAGTACTACGTTGATCATGATTTCCCTGGTTGGCTTGTTTGGGCAGATAGTATGCCGGCGTACAAGTCGAATGTGAAACGTGATATCGAATATGACGAAGTCGAGTGGAAGGTTCGGGCGCACATGGGTAAACTTTTCGACAGAGCCTGGTTCTCCAAGTTCTTCATGTATCTGAAGCAGGAACCCCGAGACCCTTCGGCTGACAAGTTCCGCATGCCCTGCGCAATGATGCTTCTCTACGCCTTCGAGCTGATGCTCCGTGACGAGCTTACAGCAGCTACGTTCAAAGACATCCAGGAAGAAATCGAAGCTGTCTTTGAGGACGGCAGTGACAAACACCAACATCGCGCTACTGCAGAGATTCTCGGGGCTTTGGTGAGCTCTGTGGCCGATACCAGCGTGGAGAAGCGGACTTTGGTCTGGGAATATGCCTTTCCCATTGTGCAGAAAATCTTCACTGATGGCCTGACTCCCGAAAACTCTGGCTACTGGACAACCTTCTTGCATATGATCCTACAGTGCCGAGACCCACGCAGAGCTTGGCCTCTCGTCGACTGGCTGGCAAGTTTCCGGCTGGACATGAGCACCAATGCAGCATTCAAGGAAAGCTCGAAAATCAATCTCTTGCATCAGTCAATCATTGACGCAGGTTGGCATTTCCAAATGGAGAAGCCGATTGTCGAGGATTTCCTTGGACATCTTGATCATCCTTACAAGGGAGTTCGTGAAGCCATGGGACAGACCCTCGCAACTATCTTCCGCACCAGGTATCATGAATCTTACGCTGACCTGAAACGCCTTCTCGATGCGCAGCAGTCCGCGTCTTCCGTGGGTACATATCCTTATCTTCCCACCGAAGATTTTACCAAGATGATTCGTGAAGTCTTCAGCCGTATTGAGACATGGCGGCAAGCCCGGACACCCGGCCAACAAACGCCTTCGTCCTATACTTCTGGATGCAAGACCGTTTTGCTGTGGCTTGATTCCACCCTTTCATCCCATGAATGTACACAATTGGTGTCGTTCTTCCCTGATCTGTTCACGGGGCAGCTTCTACACATGATGGATGTCAAGGAAGACCCAGAGCTCCAATCCCTGGCTTACCACGTCTTCCGTCACCTGCCTAACATTCCATACCCCGCTGAGCATAACTCGGAGTTTATCAAAACCCTCATCTACATCGGGCAGACATCTCCTTCATGGCACCAACGTCTGCGTGTCATGATCAACATTCAGATCATATACTTCCGTCGTCTGTTCTTACTGTCTGCGGGCGATCGTGACAAGCTTTTTGAGTGCGTGGCTAGCATGCTCGAAGACCCGCAGCATGAGGTGAGAGTGGGAGCATCTGCCACCCTGTCTGGAATGATCCGTTGCTCTCCTATTTCGCTCCGGGAAGAGATGGTTGCCAGACTGAAGAAGCGATTTACTAAGGTCTTGGTTGAGAACCCTCTTCCTAAGAAGCCCAAGGCACTCCGCTCGGGTATCTCAACGCCAGTCTCCTCTGGAGCTGGTACTCCGACCCCAGAGCACACCCGACTCATCATCTCTAGACACGGTGCAGTCCTGGGACTTGGGGCGCTCATTCAAGCGTTCCCCTACAACAGTCCACCGCCCAGGTGGATGCCTGATGCTCTGACCACACTGAGCGTCCGAGCAGCTAGCGACCCTGGCATTGTCGGATCGAGTGTCAAGTCTATTATCAGTGAGTTTAAGAAGACCAGACAAGATACGTGGCACATTGACGCGAAGGTAAGCTATCGCCAAAACCCTCCCGTAAGGTCACTCTCGCTAACATCGCCACAACAGGCCTTCACGTCGGACCAGCTCGAGGATCTTTCTGGTGTGCTCTGGAAGAGTTACTTTGCATGATGCAGCTGTTGCACCAAGCGTGAATGAACGAATATACGACAAATTGACAGGGTTGTTTTGCGACGCTCGGTTGATGACTTCATCGTTTCCTTAGGTAGTTGTAACAGTAGACATTCGTTTCTGTTTGAAGACCGCATGGGCAATGATTGGGGTTAAATAATCACTAATATTATCGATGACTCGTGATGCACTACTTTTCCATCGCATGTCCGAACTCCTTTAGGAGTAGTGTACTCACAGTAACAACAGACTTTAGTCGATTAGTCATATCTTAGTAATTGACAATGGTGGCTTCCATGTCATGTGACATGAAGCAGCCACGCGGCTCTCCGAACCGGGCTTGATCTCAAGTGCATCATCGAGCTTCTACCGAACTCAGGCGTCGGGGCTCTTTCCATTAGCTCAAAGCTGTTTCGTTATCATACGAAAGCTTCTATCGTTACTCTACTCTATACATTCTCTGATAACAGCGCCACTGCGCACTTAGCCCTTGCTGTGGATAGGTACTGCTGCAGGCAGCTTCCCCCGTCACCATGGCTCCAAGGGACACCTTCTTCCGGTCTTCGGACATGAGCCTGACCCAGCTTTACATTGCCAATGAAATCGGTAGAGAGGTTGTCAGTGCTCTGGGTGAACTTGGTCAGGTTGAATTCAGAGATGTAAGTCTCATCTATATCTCTCATTTACGGGTGTCACTCGACTGACCGGCTGGCTGCCGCTAGCTCAACCCCGACACCAATGCCTTCCAACGTACCTTCACAAAGGAGATCCGTCGATTGGACAATGTGGAGAGACAGCTGCGTATGTGACACGATGAAGTCAAGAACGGGAAGCTGAGGCGGTACACTAACTTGTTTCTCGTGCCAGGCTATTTCCACAGTCAGATGGACAAGGCGAGCATCCCCATGAGATCCTCCTCTGAATTCTCGGATACATTGGCAGCGCCCTTGGCTTCGGAGATCGATGAACTGGCAGAACGGAGCGAAAGCCTCGAACAGCGGATTGCCTCTTTGAACGATAGCTACGAGACCTTGAAGAAGCGTGAGGTGGAACTCACAGAGTGGCGTTGGGTTCTGAGGGAGGCCGGTGGTTTCTTTGATCGCGCCCACAGCCACACCGAAGAGATTCGCCAGTCTTTCGACAATGACGAGGCCCCACTACTTCGTGACGTCGAACACCAAGGTACCAACGGCGATGCGCAGGGCCAACAGTCCTTCCTGGAGATGAATATCGGCTTCGTGGCGGGTGTGATTCCCCGGGATCGGATTGGCGCCTTTGAGCGAATCTTGTGGCGTACGCTGCGTGGTAACCTCTATATGAACCAGTCTGAGATCCCCGAGGCCATCATCGACCCCTCGACCAACGAGGAGTCTCACAAGAACGTGTTCGTCATCTTCGCCCATGGAAAGAGTATCATCGCCAAGATCAGAAAGATTTCCGAGTCTCTCGGCGCTTCGTTGTACAATGTCGATGAGAACAGCGAACTCAGACGCGACCAAATCCACGAGGTCAACACCCGCTTGAGTGACGTTGGGAACGTCCTCCGCAACACGAAGAACACGCTCGACGCGGAGCTTACACAGATCGCTCGCTCGCTCGCAGCTTGGATGATCATTGTCAAGAAGGAGAAGGCAGTTTATGATACTCTTAACAAGTTCTCTTACGATCAAGCTCGCAAGACCCTCATTGCCGAGGCTTGGTGTCCGACCAATTCATTGGCCTTGATCAAGTCGACCTTGCAGGATGTCAACGACCGTGCTGGATTGAGCGTGCCCACTATTGTCAACCAAATTCGAACCAACAAGACGCCCCCAACCTACATGCGCACGAACAAGTTCACCGAGGCCTTCCAGACTATTGTCAATGCCTACGGTATTCCCAAGTACTCCGAAGTCAACCCCGGTCTTTACACTGTCGTTACGTTCCCCTTCCTGTTCGCAGTCATGTTCGGTGACTTCGGTCATGGTACACTGATGTTCTTGGCGGCCTCTGCGATGATCTTCTGGGAACGCAAGTTGCAGAAGACGAAGTTGGATGAATTGACGTACATGGCTTTCTACGGCCGTTACATCATGTTGATGATGGGTATCTTTTCCATGTACACGGGTCTCATTTACAACGACATCTTCTCCAAGTCATTCACTATCTTCTCCAGTGCTTGGAAGTGGCCTGAGGACATCCAGCAAGGACAGACTGTGAACGCGGCGCTGAAGGGCAGCGATCGCTATCCGTTCGGTCTCGACTGGAACTGGCACGGCGCGGAGAATTCCCTGCTTTTCACCAACAGCTTGAAGATGAAGATGAGTATCGTTCTCGGTTGGTCCCATGTAAGTACTTGTCCTTTGATCCATCTGATAACGACTTTTGTTCTAACTCTCGGCAGATGACTTACGCTCTATGCCTGCAATATGTCAATGCGCGTCACTTCAAGTCCAAGGTCGATGTTTTTGGTAACTTCATCCCGGGAATGATCTTCTTCCAGTCTATCTTCGGTTACCTCGTCCTCACCATCCTCTACAAGTGGTCTGTGGACTGGGACGCTCGTGGACAGTCCCCTCCGGGTCTCTTGAACATGCTCATCTTCATGTTCCTCAGCCCTGGAACTGTCGAGGAGCAACTGTATCCTGGCCAAGCTGGTGTTCAGGTCGTTCTTCTGCTCCTCGCAGTCATTCAGGTGCCCATCATGCTTTTCTTTAAGCCATTCTACCTCCGCTGGGAGCACAACCGTGCTCGGGCTCTCGGATACCGGGGTCTCGGCGAGCAGTCTCGTGTTAGCGCACTGGAAGATGACGGTGACCTGGATGGCCGCGCCCCCGGAGGCCGCGACAGCCTGGCCAGCGACGGCGAGGGAGTGGCGATGATCGCCCAGGATATCGGCGACGAGGAGCACGAGGAGTTCGACTTCTCCGAGATCATGATCCACCAGGTGATCCACACGATCGAGTTCTGCCTGAACTGTATCTCCCACACCGCGTCGTACCTGCGTCTGTGGGCGCTCTCCCTGGCCCACCAGCAGCTGTCCATCGTGCTGTGGGACATGACCATCGGCGGCGCCTTCAAGCAGGAGTCCGGCACCATGCGCGTCCTCATGATCGTGGTCACCTTCTACCTCTGGTTCACCTTGACCATCGCGATTCTGTGTGTCATGGAAGGCACCAGTGCCATGCTGCACTCACTCCGTCTGCACTGGGTCGAAGCCATGAGCAAGCATTTCATGGGCGAAGGCTTGCCGTTCAGCCCGTTCAGCTTCAAGACCCTCCTCGAGGAGGATCCGGTGGATTAGTTTCTTTTTTTCTTTTGGTCGGGTGGTCGTCTGTATCTGTTGATCACAGTCGCAGATTGTACTGTACATTCCTTTCGTTTTTTCCGTGTGTGTCCTCTGTTCCTAGCTAGCGTCTTGTCTTGGATTAGACCGTTTACTCGCTCGGGTTAGTAACTAGAGCATACGATACGATACTTGCAATCAGATCGTAGGAACTATTGCTCCCTTAGACTGTGTACTCCCTACATCAACTTCTGCCTTTCTGGATGGCGGATGAACGGGTGGGTAGTAGAGAGTGGGATAGGTGACATCATCCCCCACTGCTGTCGATCTCTCTTTTCAAAACCAAAAACCAGGATTGAGCCGACGTTTAAGTAAACAAACATTACTGATTCCCTGGGACGTACACGCCTGGTCATGATTGGAAAGTGAGACCAATTTTAGGAAGAGAGGGGAGGGCTGGCTGAGAGGGCCGATTCAAACAAGTCGTTTCTCATTGGTGGAAATATATAACGGCGGAGGACGAAGGAAATGCTCCAAAAAGGTGATAACGACTACTTGCTCATGCCAGTACAAGCTAACCACTTATTCACTTCCGGGATTAAGATAGCTGGGTGAAGATAGCTACAGTAAACTGAAAGGACGCTAGATATTTTGAAATGTTTTTCTTGGATTTCAATTGTTTTTAGAGCGTATCCTTAATTACAACGTAACTCGTGACATGCTGAAGAAGAACTCCCTGGCCAGCCCCGGAGCACCGTACCCATTTGATTGCAGTGGGGTATTTAATTATTCGTTTTTTGTTTAATCAAGAATTTATTTCTTGTGCTGGTTGTAGGTGTCGATGATCTTCTGGACCTCGTCCTTGGAGCCGAGGAAGACACCGCTGCGGTCGTGGATGTGCTCGGGGACGACCTCGAGGAGACGTTCCATGCGGGAGTTGACGGCGAGACCGCCGGCGTTCTCGAAGAGCATGGCCATGGGGGCGCACTCGTAGAGGATGCGGAGCTTGCCCTTGGGGCTCTTCTTGTCGGCGGGGTAGGCGAAGACGCCGCCGTAGAGGAGGGTGCGGTAGGCGTCGGCGACCATGGAGCCGATGTAGCGGGCGCTGTAGGGCTTCTGGCCCTCGCCGGGGAATTTGAGGGAGTGGAAGTAGGCGTTGCACCAGTCGTCCCAGTACATGCTGTTGCCCTCGTTGACCGAGTAGATGGCGCGCTTGGCGGGCAGCTGCATGTCCGGGTGGGTGAGGATGAACTCGCCCAGGGAGTTCTCCATGGTGAAGCCGTTGACGGTGCCGTTGCGCATGGTGATGACCAGCTGGGCCGAGGCGCCGTACATGGTGAACCCGGAAGCGACCATCTCCGTGCCGGCGCGCAGCAGGTCCTTGGCCGTCACCTGCTTGCCGGCGCCCAGCACCTCGTCGGGCAGGCGGAAGATGCCGAAGATGGTGCCCACCGAGACGCCTGCGTCCAGGTTGGAGGAGCCATCGATCGGGTCGCACACCACCGCGTAGCGCGCGTCCGGGTGCTCGTCGAAGATGATCGTCTCCTCCTCTTCCTCGGAGACCAGGATCCGGCACTTGCCCGACCCCTTCATCGCCGCGATGAAGATGTCATTGCCGATGACGTCAAGCTTCTTCTGATCGTCGCCCGTCGTGTTGGACGAGCCCGCCAGCCCCGTCAGGTTGATCAGCGAGGCGCGACGGATGTAGTAGGCAATCGACTTGAAGGCAAATTGCAGAGCGTGGCAGAGAAGTCTGTACGAGTTTGGAGTGTTCAGTGTTTGGCTTGGCAAGGTTGCTGGGAGTTATGCGCGCGCGCACATGCCGGGAGGGGAAGAGGGGAGGAAGCCGCGTGGGGGGGACAAAAACTCACGTGAAGTCACCGGTGGCCTCGGGGACCTTGGCCTGCTCTTCAGTGAGCCATCGGGTGAGGGTGACGATGTCGGTGTTGATGTTTTCCTGTCCAACCGGGGGAGCACCAGAAGCCATGATGTATGGATGTGCGTGTGTATGTGGGGGAGTGAGTTGAGAAAGGTAGTAGAGCGAGAGAGAGCTGCGCAACTATAAACTTCCGATTCCGGCGAAGTAGGAATTGAGACTGGTCTTAAGTAAACTGCAACCTCGGTTCAACGGAGAAAGCAGGAAGATACGGAGATAGTCGTTTGAAGGACTGAGGATTGGGGGAGAGGGGTGGTGCCGAAGGAGGGGTGATTTTGGGGAATATGTATATGTATGGAAGTGGGGTTTCGAGGCGAGAGAAGATGGGAAGTCACAGAGAGAGAGGAATTGATCCAAGCAAGTGTTTTTAGAAAATAAGAAGAGTACGTGAAGGAGTTGAGCAGAGGAACATTGGCCGGACTTTAAAAGGAGCAATCTTTTGCCGGAGAGGGAGGAAGGAGTGGTTCTGGCTAACGTCACTTGAACAAACCGGATGGGAAAAGACTATCAATTGACGCAATGACTGGAATGACTGAAATGGGGATAGTTTTCGTCATTCCCCCGTCTCTTCTCCGCTTTCGGTCGCAGCCCGAGTTTTCCCTTCAGTCCCTGTCCGGCTGCCCGAAGGGCTAAGCAAGTAAGCAGCAACAAACCCCCGACTTTCCCCGCGTCACCGAGAGAGTACTGTGTATGTATAGCCAGCTGGGCCATGGGCCAACTGAGAGTCCAGACTCTGGAGCTCTACAATTGATCAGTGCATGTTGAGCTTCGCTATTGTTTACTGACTACTGTTAATAAACTACTGTGTCCATCCCAGGGGCAGGACATTCTTGCCACCGCAATCGACTCTCGATTGTTGTTTCCAGCACTCAAAAAGGAACAGCAGTTCGGTCAACCGGCAATGGTTCGACCCAAAACTAGTAAATTCTTCAGTCATAATCCAGACATCAAGTAACAAAACAACATCAATAGGTGGAAGGAAAAATACTCGTATCCTCGCGTTTGAAGGGAGCACTGAAGTGGGTTTGGGCAGGTCAGCAGACACGCGGAGATTGATCAGCCCGCATCGAACTATTCCGAACTATTCAAAGAAAGAAAGAAAGAAATGAGTCGAGACCCGACTGGAAGACTGAGAGAGTCTCGGCTATCTTTCCCTGCCAGGATCCTCAACATCCTCGAGTCCAGGCCTGACCGCTCCACGTTCCGCCTGCCAGTTATGAAGGCTGCACCGGCAGAATGGCCGAGGCTGACCTAAGCAGCCGACGCGCATCTCGCTTACGCCGACTAACCGCATGCAGGCAGGCTAACTCCTCGGTAAAAATTGGCTCCGGGCGGGAGAGCTTTAAAAAAGTTCAACTCGCTTTTCTTTTTTGGCTTTTTCTCCCATCACAACAACATTCTCTGTTGCAATGTCTGTCTGCCTATTATGATCGTGGCTTCAGATATGACACAGCTTGTAGAACTATTTGCTCACCATGCACATTTGGGACTGACACATCTGGTTCTTCGCTGAACAGGATTTTTTTTTTTGGTAAGTGCTACTCCAGCATCGAGATCACCCCTCATCCCATTCTCCCATCATCCTTCTATGATGATACCTACAACCACATTTCAAACTAGAGTCTTTGACCCATCCGGGGAATGAAAACTCACTTGTTTGCACGTCAGTCTGATGCATTTGCGAAGGACTTGATCTTGTTTCTTGACCACAGCCGAGCTGTTGGCATGGTGCTAATCAGTCGACAGAACACTTACCTCTTAGCTTCACTTCGACCACGACTCGCTTCTAACATCATCACTAATGGTATGTGCATCTCCCCCATTCCTGGCACTGCCCCTTATTCCACTATTCATATGATGCTCTAAACGTTTAAATACGCTGGAAATTACCGACTGAGGCCTTCGGGTCCTGGACGAAATCAAATGGCTAAATCTGATTCAATTTACACTACTCTTTGCTTGTCAACCCTCATGAATCAACTTGGCATTGGCTAACGGTTCAAAAGATTCTCACAGGTTTTTATATCACAGGCAATGCTTGCGAATGCAGCCAAGAGGGTAAGCCATCCACGTTTTCCTTGTCTCTTCAGATGCGACTTTCGAAGATGAAACGGCACTGGGCTCCGACGGCGTTAAGACATAGCGTCCGGTCATGATGGATATGCCCTTTTTGTGGCAGGCCTAGAAAACCTCGCCCACTGAGATACTCGCTCAAAGCACACATTGTGTCAGCGTTGATGTAAAGCCTGAGGCTGATTATCTCGAGAAGTAATCATAGGCCACGCATAGTAACACCTGCCATCGAATATCAAAAGGTAATTATAGCCTGGTTTTTGTCCGTTCCGTCCCCAACACAATGATGATTCCCTTAGATGACGAGTCTTATTGGAGTTATCCATGCAGACAACATCTTTTTTTTAACCATTCATGCATTTCTGATATGGTTGTTGCGAGAATCTTTGCATCTCGAATCTCTACTGGACGTAGCTGACTCGCAACTTGATAGATATTGTCAATTCCAGTGTGCCTGGGTCAGCCCTGCCTGGGAGAAAGAGGTCTAAGTATGTCACACTGCCTCTTCCCTTTGCCTGGCTTCCTTGCATGATGATACGACATAAAACAAAGACAAGCATATGTCCAAGCCTGCTTTGCTGGCCGAGACGACACCTGTCATGACTGACTCGTCGCCGTGCTTCATGATCATCTCATTCACGTACCACGCTCAGGACTAATAAACTGAGCAGGTATCCGTGTAGCCGTGACCTCAGTCTTTGGTCCTGAGGTTGGAGCTTGACATGGTCTTGATGTTGACTGAGTTTGAGCTCCAACCTTCCCCAAGATGAATGTAAGCCGAACTCGATCCCTTTTTGTCCTTTAGCACCTCTTTTCCAATGATGATTTATTCTTTATATATCACGACGGTCAACATAAAGAAATACCTTGATGACCACCGCCTGTGACAGGGCATTTATCTGAAATGGAGAAGACTCGTTACTTTTTTCTTTTTCTCGTTTCTGCATCTCGAATGAGTGACTTGATCAAATGCTAATATAGCGTTCAGTGACTTCTAGGATACGCAATCTCGAAGACAAGAAGACTGGCGCCCGTCTCTGAACTAGCGTAGCAGCTGAGCAAGATGCGAGGGCTGTCAAATGTCAGATTCATCTAGATTTCTTAGAGTGCATTAGTCAAAAGCTTGTGATTTGAGATTAAAATAGAATCTTCTGACACTGACTATACCTAATCATTCCTAATTTGTATTTCCTTGTAGCACTTGGGGTCGGACGAGGAGTTGGAATTGGCCAAAAGAACAGACCCTTGGCACTTTCTCTCCCCCTGTGAGTGGTTGTCGAGTGTTGCAAGAGCGCGAGGGTAAGCGCCAGTGATCGCGCCGGCTGTGATTCAACCCGCCTCAGCTGCATCTCTCGTCACATTCATGCTTGTCCCTGGACCCATGCGTCTCCTGATGTTCTATTCTTGTCCTTTATCTCATCTTCTTGCTTTTCCCCCCTCTCTTCTCTGTGGATCCCAAACCCACGATGACGGCCGCAAACTGGACCGGTCGACGAATCCCTGCCACTGGGGCCCGCGTTTGGCTTGGAGACTAACTTGTTGCAAAGAATAGAATTCTCCTGTGGCCCTTCAGCCCTTTGACTTTCTCTCCACCACCTATCGTATTGTCTGGTCGGCTCGCCTCCTTCGTGTCTACGCTTGACCGTAATCTTGCCCTGCACGCAGCTCCCCAGCCATGGCTATCGCCCTCTTGATCGGTTACGAGTATGAATAGGTGTGCTTGGCTTCTCCCACTCTCCTCACTCACCCATCACCCCGCGGTTTCCTCCCTTTGGCAATCTCCTGCTGCGAGGGTCCGAGGGTTGCTGATCACAGCCTTCTCGATAGTTGGCAGTCTTCGAGCAATGCTGGCGACGAGCTGGCGTCTGGTGCACAACCTCTGAGCAGCTGGCCGAGTCCCCATCACAGCAACAGCAACCAAATCTCACCCCGTCGTCGCGAGCATGCGGTGCAGCCTCCTCCTTTGACAACAGCCTTGAACAATAGTCAGTTCCAAGGTCTTGGGCTTGGTCTGGGGGCAGCATATTCCCCTGCGCCTCTTTCAACGACATCTCTGTCGAGTCCGTTCACCCACGGCCAGTCTCCTGTAGTGGCTTCTCCTGGAGGACTCGCCCTCGGATCTTCGCCCATGTCGTCCCGGCAGTATAACGTGCCCTATAACCCCCAGGACTGGGGCCCGGTGGGACATTCCTCAGTGAACCCGGGGCAACAGAGTTATCCTCAGGCAAATAATATGCTGAGGATTGTGCCCCAGCCACGTTCATCGGGGCCTCACTCAGGTCTGATCCCCGTTCTATATTCCATGCCCCTCTTTATCATTGTAGCTATAGATAATGTGGGCAGTTCCAGTCCGGAGTTGAAAAAGGCCTAATGTGATCGTTGCAGATGTATCGTTGTCACCACCACCACCTCCATACTCGCCCCCAAGTCATCAGCACCAGCAGCAATCCAGAGATAATGTCAGCCATAACACCTCCTCCTTGGGCTCGACATCCCCGAGTGCTACCTCTTCGAACACAGGAGCATTGCGCCCGAGCATGGATCAAGCTTCGGAGTTTCAACAGCGTCGTCTTCCACGGGCGCGCCCGATATCTATGTTCGTAGGAAACGAATCAGGCCGAAACCGACGAGTCTCCCTGCCTCCTCCACCCCCGCTACCGCAGAGTCTAGCAGGATCCAGGTCATCGTCTCGTAGCAGAGGAGAGCCTTACCAGGACCAGGTTGCCGCATCAATAGGGCCGAGACCGTATGTCGTCGTCTCACCGGAGGGTCTGCGGGCCTCGCAATCAAATAATGGCAGTCATTTGCCAGGGTTGGACGGCATGGACGATGCAGGTCGTCCTCCAGCTTCACGAAGAGCCGTCTCGGCGGGACCTGTGGTGAGCAGCACGAGCTCATCCAGAGCTCACAGTCAAACTCGAAGTCGGTCACCTCCAACACAAGGCTGGGAGCCAGGAATGCCCCTCCCTCCACCTCCTCCAGGTCCTCCGCCGAGCACAAGGTCACAAAGTGTGAACGGGCTGTCTGATGTGTCGTCTGCGCGCACTCAGCAAGTCCCTGCGAGAACCGGGAAAGCGCGGGCGCCTCCGCCTCTAGGAACCACTCTCGATAGCATACCACCAACACCTGCTGGCTGGGTGGACGAAACCATTTCAGTAGTCAGGCCGAAGAACGAGAAGATGCCCCTGAGTATAGATACTATGAATACTGCCTCTGGCAGCAGTTCAACATCGCATGATACTTCTCAAACAGCACAAAGCTCTGTCAGCGGTGGTCTTTTTCGAAGCCCGGCCATCAAAGATCCCAACGCCAAGGGCATTCGCGAGAGACGGATCGAACGCAGGAACCGGCAGAGTCAAGTCCTGGACGATCTCAGTGCGGTGTCCATGAGCAGTAACCCGTGGGCTGAAGCACTGGAGAAGATAAAACCGTCCAACTTGGTCTTAGAGGACACCAACGGTGTATCGGAGAGAACACCACACCAGGTTTCAGCCAAAATCACGCCACGCAGTACGCGCAGTGTGGGCTCCGAAATGCAGCAGCAAGTGCCATCCAGATCCAGAGCGTCTTCTGGAGGCCTGTTTTCGAATCGATCCCCATTTTCGACTCCTAAAGCTGAGCCGAGCCCGCTAGGAGCCCCGGCTGGGTATGCACAGACTCCGCCATTCTCGCCGGGTACGGAACGATCGAAGCGAACGTCGCCGGCGCTCCCGTCAAAAACCCTTCCAACACCTCCACTTCAGCCGAGACAGGAACGATCGCCATCTCAGTCGAGAGCCAAAGATGAGCGTCCAGTGTCACATATCCTGCACTTGCCAAATGACAGTGTTCCCGCCGTACCGCCTCTGGCACCGCGCCGCCTCTCAGCCCAGCAAGGCCCCTCTCTGGACTCGGTCATCAAGCGCGATGATGAGTTCCTCCGAAACGCGACGCAAAGGCATCAGGTTTTCATTGAGAAAGAGGCGGATGCTGTGGACGAGAAGGAAGCACTTCAACTGTTCACGGAGTTCATTATCGCGGAATCTCAGATCCGACGCGAGAAATATGCTAAAGTCTGGAACACGGGCTCCTTTGACGTGGATGAGGTGGTTCGGCAACTGTTCGAGTTGCCACCGAAGACCTTGCAGACAACCCAAATGGCTCCTGCTATCGCTCCTGTAATGCCCCCCAAGAGGGTATCCAACGTAGCAGTCCCCAAGCCCAAGCTGGACATTCCTCAATCTCGGCCCGAGTCTGCTTGGTGGAACAATTACCAGCCGTGTCTCTCGCCGATTGCCAGCCTGGGTCTCAGCAATGACGAGATGAGCTCCCGAGGACGTGCTCCTAGTCGTTGGTGGGAATCGAAAACTGGCTCCAGTAGTGAAGGAGGGGAGAGAAGAGTACAGCGGTCAAAGAGGGAGAGCAAATACATGGGTCTGCCGCGTGAGGCCTTGCTCCTTGAAGAAAGCCAGAGTCTTTCCGGCGGTGACCAGGATTCAACCGGCCAACGCATAACTTACGGTCCTGATGAATATCCTCTTGAGAAGGTCGGGTGGCATGAGGAGCCTGAAATGCCGGTTCATCCGAGCCGCAATGGCATTGGCCGTCTCGAACGGCGTGAAGAGAGGTCGAAGATGGATGTTTCGAGGCTTATTACCCTACCGCCACCTTACCCCCGACATTATCCTGCTGTGAATAATAGTCACCCCGACCTTGTAACTTATCGGACGTTGGTTCGATCCATTACCGATATATCTGAGATCAAAGCTACTCGGCAACGCCATGAGACCGAGGTGGCTGTCCTATTTCAGAAGCACCAAACCCGAGTCAAGGATGGTCGTCGACAGTTTAAGGCCAACATTCAGAGCGAGA